TTGCCAAACATATAGTAATAGTTATACATACAATAATAATTATTTACCTTTTTTAAACTTCAATTATTTTGTTATTCTCCCCTGGTTTTGCCTTTTTTTTGTAAAAAAGAGACAAAAACTAATAAATATAATAATAGTTATTTACCTTTTTTTAACTTGAATTATTTTTTTACTCTCCTGTGCTGTGGTTTTGTCGTTTTTTGGAGAAGAGACAAAAACTAAGTCTCTAATATTTTCTACCTCTATTGCGCTAGGATCTCGTTAACACTTTACGTAATGCACATCAATTTACTTCAGCCCGAGACCCTCCGAGGTGAATTAATGAAGGAGAATGGAAATTGCCTCAAAAAAAAGAGAAAGAAAGTTAAAAAAACGAGGAAGATAAACATCTACCCATTTACCATTTTTTTCTGATTTCTAGATTTTGTTCGAGGCGACATCTAATTACGTCTTCTAAATAAAAAATTGAATCTAATTTATAAATCTTATGCTATTCATTCAGGTTTAGAGAGTTTGTCGCGCGAAAATCTTTAAGAATTCTTTTTTTAATTTTTTTTGCGCTTTTTGAATGAAGGGAATTTCTTCTCGTTAAAAGACACAAAGAAACGGACGGAATTCAATTAGTTTTACAAATATTAAAAATTCTTTGCTAAAATTCAATTATTTTTTATATATTATTTTAATAAAATTTTTCAAACGAATTCAATTATTTAAAAAAAAATTAATGAAATTCTTAAGAAGAATTTAATTGTTTTCATGAATATGTAATAAAATTCTTCGAAGGAATTCATTTGATTAAGATATTTTGATAAAATTCTACTAAAGAAATTAATTATTTTCAAAAATTTTGATACAATTATTTTATAAGAATTTAACTATTTATCTAAACAATAAATTTCTTCAATAGAATTAAATTATTTTCATAATAATTTAATAATTTTATAATTTCTTAATTTTATAATTTTATAATTTTTTCTCAAATAATGAAAATCTTAGTTTAAATTCAATTATTTGCAATATTTTTTGTATTTTAATAAAAATTCTCAAACGAATTCAGTAATTTATTTAAAAAATTTTTTAATAAAATTCTTCGTAAAAATTCAATAATTTTCGTAAATAATAAAATTTACATAAGAATTCAATTATTTAAAATATTTTAATAAAATTCTTCAAATTAAATTAATTATTTTCAAAAATTTTAGTAAAACTTTTTTAAAAGAACTGAAATTATTTTCCTAAATAATTAATTCCTTTGAAAAAATTCAATTCTAAGTAATCAGAAGATAAAGTTTGCTCAAAAAATAATTTTTCATCTTCTGCTGATTATCGGCTGTGGGTACTTTTCATGAATTGTGAATTAAATTAATTTTGATGACCTCGATATTAATTGGAATTGTTCTGGTAATAGTTTAGGACCAGAAAAAAATTTTAGTACTAAAAATTGTTAGTAAATTAAAAAAAAGTTTTTATCTCATTGCCATATAAATATCTCTAAGAAAGAAAAATTTTTGTTGTGCTATTATTTTTTTTGGATTTAATTTTAGAAAATTTTAGAAAAATTTTTGGTTTGTAATTGTTATTAAGTTTTTGGTATTTGGAAGTTTAAAAAAAATTTTAGAGCTGAGGATGTGTTATTGGGCTAGAAATTTTTTAAATTTTTGACTTGAATTTCATAAGTATTGACATGGAAAATCCTGGAAAAAGCCTTAAATTTTATATTTATCATTTTGTGGCAACCATGAACTGAAAACCGAAAATTCTTGCAGTCTCTTCAGGGGAATTCCCGAAAAATTCCCGGTAACTAGGAATTTTAATTAAATGAATTATTAATTGCATTTATTATAATTTCTTACTTTTCGGGAAAATATTTTTTTTTTGAAATTGTAGTTATTTATTGAAAAGAAATGTAAAATAATTTATTTTGAGGAAAATGAAAAATTTTTGCTCAATACACAGATTTCTATCAATACACAGATATTTTTGCTCAATACTGGAAAGAAATGTTTGTAACTCGTTCATTGATAAGATTGTGGACATGACAAAATGACAAAAGTCATTTTTTCCGAATGAGAATAGAATATTTGATATTGAAATCTGTTCTTTTGAAAAGTTTCTTATGCAGATTTGTCCTGAAGTGCCCGTATACATATATCAATGTTGAGCTGAGATCTTGAAATCCTAACAGACAAGAGAGAGAGAGAGGCGTATGCGGAGGTGAAGTGAACATGTGGTTACGACACGTCTGGGATCTTCAAAGATTTATCTTCCTAATGCGGGACCACCACGGCCGGCATATGCCAATAAACGAAGAAAGTTTGGTCATCGAGGACAGACGGAAAATCCAGATTGAACGTGAAGAGAGGGAGAGAGAGAGAGAGAGAGAGAGAGAGAGAGAGAGAGAGCCGAGAAATAGGAACGAGTGTGCGAGCGATAGAAAGATACGTAACAGAATCTGAAACTTGGGTAATAATGCCCAAGTCAGTTCCAGCAGGCCGCGGATAGTTCGCGAAACTCGTATCGTTTCCACGTATACTTCCTTCGCAGTAATCTTTCGATTTACTTATTAACTCGTTTTTATTTTTCTTCCCACACTTTGCCGTTTTTCTCCAATTTTTCTTCATTTTCTTGTTGTTGGAGGTTTCTTCTTTTTCTACTTTTTAATATTTTCTGGGTATTTTTATTGGGAATTATACTTGTTGCGTCGTTGATTTTTTCCTTTTTTATATTATTAAACTTTGGGGAAAATTCTTTTCAATTACCGCAAGTATTCCTAATAATTTTTACAATACCAAAAGTATTCCTAATAATTTTTACAATACCAAAAGTATTTCAAATACTTTTTACAATACCAAAAGTATTCCAAATACTTTTTACAATACCAAAAGTATTCCAAATAATTTTTACAATACCAAAAGTATTCCAAATAATTTTAAGATTTTACAAAAAAATATTTTTTCTATAGGTACTTTCAAAAATATTCTTCAATTCCTACAATTTTCGTAAATAATATTTTTTCAACAATTAAAAAATTATATCTTTATAAAATTGTTGTAGTTTAGAAAAATTCTTATAACTTTCCAAAAAATATTCCTTTAGTAGTTTTTTATAAAAAATATAAATTTAAACAAAATTCTTACAATCTTCTAAAACAATATTTCTTTAATACAAAAATCCTACATTTGAAAAAAATTCTTCCATATTGCAAAAAAATACGTTTACAAAATTCTTAAAGTTTACAAAAAAGTTTACAATTTTTACAAAGAATTTTTTTTAGTATTTTTCAGAATATAATATTTACAACATTTTTACAATTTTCCAAAAGAATATCCCTTGGATAATTAAAAAAATACCTTTACAATATTCTTACAGTTTATAAAAATTCTTACAATTTTTACAAAAATTCTACTTGTGCTTAAATTTTTACTATGAATTTTTATTCAAAGTTCGCTGGAAAATAAATAAGGAAGAATATTTTTTTGTTCAAAAAAAGTATTCTTAGACAGTATTCATTTGTACAATTTTCTCATTCAAAATTAGTAAAATATTTACACATTATTTCTAAAGGATTTTATAAATGTTTGAATTGAAAATATATTAGTTTAAAATTGTTTATTTTACCATTTATTTAGTTTACATTTTTTAGTTTAAAATTTTTAATTTTAAAATATTTTTGTTTACAATTTTAAATTTTGAAATATTTCAGTTTAAAATCTATAACTTACAATTTTTAATTTTCAAATACTTCAGTTTACAATTTTTCGGCATAAAATTTTTTAGTTTTCAATTTTTAATTTACAAATATTTTGTTTACAAATTTTATCTTAAAATTTTTTATTTAAAAATTTTTAATTTTCAAATATTTTAGTTTACATAATTTTAGTTTAGTTTATAAATTTTGTAATATTTTAGTTTAACAATTGTTTTAGCTTAAAATGTTAAAGCTTATAATTTTTGTGTTTAAAATCTTTTACTTAACAATTTTTAATTTAAAAATATTTCAAAATTACAATTTTCTCGCTTAAAATTTTCTAGTTTATTTAATATTTTTAAATACTTTAGTTTAAAATTTGTAGCTCACAATTTTTTTGTTTAAAACGTAGGTAAAAATTGCTTTTAGCTTAAGTTTTTTAGTTTACAATTTTTTAGCTTAAAATTTTTTATAGTTCAATGTTTTTTAGCTTATATTTTTTTATTGGATTTTTATTTTTAATTTTGCAATTTAGTAGCTAAAAGTTTTGACTTCAATATCTTTTACTACAACATTGTTGTTCAAAAAGTTCTTTCTTTGTATCAATTACTATCCGAAAAAAATATTCTTTATCTCTTATTTGTTGAAATATATTTTTAAAGCAAAAGAAATCCTTCGAAGCTGGTGGTTGTATTTTTTCTTCTTTAAATTCCGGACTAATGGCCATTGGTTTCATTTCACCTAAGATTAAAAAACACAAAGTAAATAAAAATTTACATTAAAAGTTGTTGTAAATAAAAAATTTACATTGTGGACTGTTTTTTTTTGAGAAAAGAATGTTTAGAAAATGGTCGAAAATACTTTATGAAAATAAAAACGTAAGTGTAAGTAAAGTTCTTTTTTTTCGTAGAACAATAATATGAGAAAGGAAAAAGTTTGTACAATTTTTTAGTTTTTAAATTCCGTTTATTAAAACTTCGGGGAAAATTTAATATGATTCTATTTTCATAGAATTTTACGAAGGAAGATCCTTCTTCTTTTAAATAATAATAATAATAGATAAAAAAAAAGGTTTTCTACTTTAAAGAAACGAGATGCATATTTTTAGATTGGATTCCCGTTAAGAGAGAATAAAAACGCACGAATTCTAAATTTGATCGTTAATTATTTTCCTGTTAAAAAATAACGAAATTCCAATACAAAATATAGCGATCTTTGTGATTTTTATATGTGATTCACACTGATCATGTTCTTGAATTCCCCACTTGTTCGGCCACCTCGACATTGAGAGACGTATGTATATAAAGGTTCAGTCTCGACTTCCATCGGACAGTAGACTGAACAAATCGAAGCACGATTCGTAATTAGTATTTTAGCATAAAATTTGATACCAGAAACGTGGTTCGTTTTTTTTGTCCCTTTAGTTTTTGTTTTTGTTGCTTGTGAAACATGGATACTTTACGAATTTTAACATTGTGCTTGTGCTTTGTAGCTGCTTTTGTTTACGGTAAGTAATTTGATATTCTTTCGTAAAATTAGTTTCAAAACTCGGAGAAGACAATGTATCCGAAGTTAATTATCCGTAGAGAAGAAAGAAAATTTTAGACAGAAAAAAAAACAATGTAATCGTTTTATTTTCCTATCTAAAATTTTCTTAATTAATTAATTAATTAATTATTATAATAATTTGATAGTGTTGATAATAAATAATATTAAATATTAAATTTAAAAAGAGGTTGAAATTTGGTAGAATATTTTTTTGTAACTTTTTTGTAACATTTTCGATTTTATTTTCCCTGCGGTGATGAAAAATTTTATTTTCCCTTCAATGCACTTCATGCACTTGAGGGAGGGAAAATAGGTTAACAAATTAAATTCAAACTCATGTAAATAATGCGATTAACTAAATAACAATTGAAGTGTTAAATAATAATTTAGTGTTTAATTAATTAGTTATTGAATAATAATCAACTATAAATTAAAATTATGATAAATAATTTATCAATTAAATTGACTTTAATTATCAGTTATAAATAAAATTGATAGTTAAAAATCCAATAACAATTATAATTTATAATATTTAATTTTGTGAATTTTAAATTTAATACAAAAGACTGAAAAATTAATTAAAAATAAAAAATAAATTAGACTAGGAAATTAAGAATTATTAATTTTTAATAGAAAAAAAAGTTGATATTAACTTGAAATGAAAAGTTAAGTATAAATATTAATTTTCTATTTTTAATTAACCGGTAATTTAAAAAGGGGAGTAAAAACAATGAAAAATTGAAGGCAAGCAATTTCTTATACAGAACGTTAGCAGTAAATTGTCCGATTATTTAAATTAAGCAATTTTGTTTTTTTTTCACCCATTTTTCTATTTTATCGTTAACGGTATAATTAAAAAAATTTACGGATCCTTGGATGTTTTTATTCGATATAGAATTATGACGGTCAACGCTACACGCACAATTGCAATTCTCTTACGTGAATGCTCTCATGACTCTTGGTAATTAAAATCTTTTGTGAAAATCTACATAATGCAATTCTTTTTCAAATTTTTAATCTATTCTTGTGAATTCCTTTTTTCTTTTCTTTTTGAATTTTTTCTCTTACTTACTTTTATATTCTAGTTTATATAAGTTTTCGTAAATTTAATCCAATATTTTCAAAGTTTGTAGAAATGCTATCAGAACAGTGTCTTAAGATTCAATTTTAGTTTTTCTTAATTATTGAGACAAATAAAGAGAAATGAATTATATAGTATATCAAACAAAAAGTTTCAATTCAATTTTCACTCTTTTAAAATAATATTTGTCCTTCTTATTGAGATCAATAATAAAATTGGATTCGTAAATTTTAATGCCCTTGTGTTTACATTTAATTAAATGGTATTAATATAAAAAAATGTGAAAAATAATAAAATAGTATAATAATAATAGTAATAAAAAACTACAATAATAGTAATTAAGTGACTACAATAATAACTTCTAAAAATTTTAATTGGTAAAAATGTTTACTACTTTGAATTAGTGATTTACTTTTTGCTTTTGAATTAATAAAATTTACTAATAAATAGTATTTTACTAATTAAGTAATAGTTAAACTATTTAAATAGTAATAATAGTAATTTTACAAATAAAAAGTACTTTCTACTAATTTTAGTAAATAAAATACTAATTTAGTAAATTTGACTAATAAATTAGTAAAATTTACTAATTCATAAGCAAAATGTCTGTCACTAATTCAAATTAGTAAACATTTTTACTAATTTAAATTTAGAGAGAGAAAAAATAATAAAATAATAGAATTTCTAAAATTTTGAATTTATTAATTTCTATAATTTATTGATATAGTTTTTGAAATTATAATATTTCGTATTATATATATTATAAATTTAAATTGCCTGCGATTACATATATGGGAGACTGTTTCGATGTATTATAACACCTTTGGATTGTCTCCTTATATGCTTTTCTTACCTTGAAAATTTTACATGAAGATTTCATAACTTTTATTTTATTGATTCACAGAATTTTATGACTAATCATTATAATAACAATACCATTTTTTTAAACATAAATTATTATCTCGATAATATAAGAAATTTATGGTATAATTATCTATAATTATACAGATAAATTAAAACAAATAATTTTAAACTTATTCTGAAGAAAAATTATTGCTCTCGTAATTTTAAGAATCAATTAATAGAGATAATTAAAATGAAATGAAAATAAAAAAATACTTAAAGTTTTTTAAAAAAAAGACTAAAGAAAAACCGGTAAATAAATAAGACTATAAAATTTGAAATAAAAAAATTTTTTTAAATTTTTAAAAAGAATAAGAAGGAAGAACGAATAAATAAATAAACATAAACTGAAAATAAAGAAATGATTTAAAATTTTTGGAAAGGAGAATGAAAAGAAGAGTATATAAAAATTTGTACTAATAATATTGTAATAAAAATGTTAACTAAAGATCTAAACGATGAAATGAAAAACGTGCAAATTTAATTAATAATAAAATTATTAATAAAATTAATAATAAAAAACATAAAATTAATTCAAAATCTTGGAGCAAAAATACTAAAGGAATTTTGTTTTTGTTTATGTACTGTTTATTGAAAATTATGCATTTTATTATTAAAAATGAAGAAAAGTGTAAATATATAATGAACATCATAATTACTGATAAATAGTATAGATTAGGAATTAAGAAAGCCAGCAATAAATTAAGATAAACAATGAATAATAAATTGAAATGCTGTCCATCACTTGTCACGTATAAAGCATTTTCAAAACAAGTCTCATCGACCGGATGCATTACGATATTTGAAAATGCTGCATTTTATTATAGTGCAGTGATCGTTGATGATAAGAATCCGGTTTCAATGATGTTTGTTGCTATTTTCATCTCTAGTCTCAACTGAACGTGCCAAGTTCAAGGACAAAAATTTCGTTTGCCCAAAAGTGCATTCTCTTCATTCGAATTTAAATTTTTATATTCTAAACGGCACAACAAGAATGGATCTTTTTTTTCTTTATTTTTTTCATTTTCTTTGTGTCTAAAGTTAATCTTTTTGTTTAGTAATTTAAATTTTTTTAAATATTTATTAAGTTACTAATCAAATTGAGTTACTTATATATAATAATTAACTGATTATGATACTAATTATTTAACTAATAATTAACTAATTATGATACTAATTAATTACCTACTAATTAACTAATTATTATAGTAATTAATTATTTAATAATAAAATAATTGTACTAATTAATTACCTACTAATCAACTAATTATTATTGTAATTAATTATTTAATAAAAAACTAATTGTTATACTAATTACTCATCTGTAATAATTAACTAATTATTAAACTAATTAATTATCTGCAATAATGAACTAATTATTAAACTAATTAATTATCTGCAATAATTAACTATAATTATTATAGTAATTAGTAATTTAATAATTAACTATTTATCCTAGAAATTCATTATTTAATAATAAACTAATTGTTATATTAATTAATTATCTACCTAATATTAAATAAAAGTAATAAAAATAATATGAAATAATCATTTATTGAAAAATAAAGAGTTTATCTTAATTAATATTGTTATTTTTGCTTTTGTTATTATCTGTTGTTATTGTTGTTGTTTGCTATTGTTTATTGCTTTTGTTATAGTTTATATTTATTGTTGTTGTTATTTTAATTAATTATTATTTATTGAAATTAAAATATTAATGTATTAATGTAATTTTATTATAATTATTTGGTAAAATTGGTAATTGTGATTGTTGATTAGAAAAAATAGAAAAATGTGGATAATTAGAGGAATAAAAACAATGGAAAGAACAATAGAAACACGTGGTAATGTGAGGAGGGATTTTTTTTTTCTAAAAAGGAAGATAAAATTGAAATTGCAGTCACGTCTAACATTTCCTTATAAATTTTGTTTTCGTAGCCACTTCATTTTTAAATATAAGATAATGAATTCCAAGTTTGTATTATAATTTTTTGAGACGGTTTTTATACTTGGGCGGAATTTTAAATTAAAAATTATCTCACTTTAATAAATCGCATTTCAACCTCTGTTTAAACATACATGTATATACATGAAAAGTAAATGAAAACATTTTTGTTTGCTTTCTTTTAAATAATTCCCTTCCATTTCATTTTTTATTAATTTTTCTTTATTTTTACAAATTATTTACTTTTTTATTTTTTAAATAATTTTGTTTATTTTTTAAAATTATTTACGTTTTTTTTTATTAATTTTATTTATTACTTCCTCATAAAGGAAGTATTTTTATAAATTATTTACTTTTTTTATTAATCTAATTTTATTTATTTTTATAAATTATTTACTTTTTTTTACTTTTTTTTTATTAAAAAATGAAATTGATTTAGAATTCGAAATAAAAAATAAGTTACATAAATAAATATTAAAAAATTGAATTATGTAATTAATATATCATATTAAAATATTAATTATCATTATGTAATTAACGGTCTAAATTTGAATTAGCAAAAATATTTACTAATTAGAATATTAGTGACTGACTTTTTGCTTTTGAATTAGTAAATTTGACTAATAAGTAGTAATTTCTACTAATTTAAGTAATTTTTTAGTAAAATTTACTAATTTTAAAGCAAAAAGTTGGTAACTATTTCAAATTAGTAAAACATTTTTATTAATTGAAATTTAGGTAGAATATTTATGAATATTAATTATAATTAAGAGTGTTAATTATATAATTATATTAATTAGAATTAATTAATTAACTAAATTATAATGTTTACTTATAATTTGAAATAATTTAAAGCAGGAGTCAAAAATTGATAAAAATTGTATTTTTAATGCTCGTTTTCTTATCTTGAAGGCCAAGTGCAGCCATCGAACCCCGCAGAACCTGTCTCACAGACTTGTCTAGGATGTATTTGCGAAGCGTCGTCTGGCTGTAACACAACTCTAAAATGCAATGGAGATGTTTGTGGGCCTTTTCGAATAACTTGGGGCTATTGGCATGATGCAGGAAAACCGACATTCAATAACGAATCACCTGATTCAAAAGACGGTATAATTTATTGAATTTTTCTTTTTTTTCTTTTCGAGATTAAAAAAAAAAATTCTCAATATTCTATTTTAGAGTATTATCATTATATACGTTTTTATTATAATTAAAAAAAATATAAAATTATATTTTGAAGTGTATTTTGAAAAAATATTCTTTTTTTAATTTATATATGTATTTTTATTAATAAATACTTGATTACAGCTTTTGCAAATTGTGTCAACGACGCTTTCTGTGCCGCTAGAGCGATTCAAGGATACATGACTAAATATGGTCAGGTATGCGGTAATCATATTATTTTTAAAATTAAAAATTACTTATTGTTTCTCTAGAAAGAAAAAATGACTTCTTTTGATTAAATTTAAAATTATTTAAAGTAATCTGTTTAATTACTGCTCTTTATTGATTATTTATTTATTTATTTATTATGAACTTTGAGAATAATATAATTTTAGCACATAATAAAAAATAAAAATATTACTCTCTAAATTTGAATTAGTAAAAATGTTTACTAATTTGTAGTAGTGACTGAATTTTTGCTTTTGAATTAGTAAAATTTACTAATAATAGTAAAATTTACTAATAGTAGTAAAATTTACTAATAGTAGTAAAATTTACTAATTGTAGTAAAATTTACTAATAAAATAATACTTTTACTAATAAATAGTCATTTCTACTAATTTATTAGTAAAATTTACCAAAAAATAATACTTTTTTAAATAGTAATTTCTTCTAATTTATTAGTAAAATTTATTAATACAATAATACTGAAATAATACTTTTACTAATAAATAGTAATTTCTACTAATTTATTAGTAAATTTTACTAATTCAAAAGCAAATAGTCACTAATTCAAATTAGCAAACATTTCTACTAATTAAAATTTAGAGAGTAAATTTGAATAGAAATAAAGTGATACAATAATTGAAATAACTTTTTTTCTAACAATAGAAACGGTTAATGAATAATGAATAATTAAAATAATTGAAATAAATGAATAAGCAAATAAGTAATAAATAAATAGAAAATAAGTTTAATAATAGGTAGTATGAGTAAGTATCGAATTATTTAAGTACTTTTAATTAATTAAAATATTTAATCTTATTTTTAGGACTGCAACGGTGACGGCAAAGTTGATTGCGATGATTATGCTCGAATCCATCGTCATGGAGGATATGGATGTTCTGCTCCTTTAGATCCAGCATATGAAACTCCTTACAAACTTTGCATAACCACTTTTGGCTAATTATAATACATTAACAGTCTTAAAATATTTAATTAAGTAAACTTCATTTTCGTTTTAATCACATCTATCACTATTTTTTAAGAAAAAAAATTGTTTTTTTGCGTTTTAAGTAAAAAAAGAAGAAATTTTTTGAAAAAAATAAATGAAAAAAAGAATGAAGAGTCAATAAACATAGTAAATATAATTCTATTTTCTATTTTCATTTAAACTTAAAGACATTTAAATTAAACTAAATTTTTTTTTTAGAAAATTTATTTTTCACTCTGTGAATTTTTGCGCATTATCATGTGAATATCTATTTTTTAAATGTCATTACAATTTTTTATACTAAAGGAAAAAGAAAAATGTGAATATTTTTTAAATTAGAGGAATAAAATTTTGTTTAGGTACTTATAAAAACAAGATTGTTATTATTTTAATGTAATTTATTACACTACGTAATTAGTGTAATTTATTCAATAACCCTTATTTTGGTTGAATTCTAATGTTAAATATTTACTATATTATATTTTATTTTTATTTTAATTATTAATTATTAATTATTTAATTATTATTTTACTATTTTATTATCGGTTATTATTTATGATAATTATTCCGATGCACCTGGTTTCGTTTTACAAAAATAACTAGGTAAATATTAAATTGACCAATTTAGAAAATTTATTAAATATGCAAATCGGGGGTAGAATGAGGTGATGACAAAAAGATACTATTTATACTAAACTCCACTTTAATTGACATTAATTTAATGCAACATCAATTATCTGGGAATTAATAATTCATTTTGTATTAATTTTACAAAATTAGTTAAAAATATTTTAGAAAAAGTAATAGACTTGCAAGATAAAATTTTATAAATTAATTAATTGATACATAATGAAAATTGTATTGTAGGGCATATTAATTTTTTATATTTGTTATATCTTATTACTCATTGAATCTTTAAACTAAATTTTATATTAGGTATTTTATTACTTAAATTTATAATTTATTAAATATTAAATTTTGCAATTAAAATTGATTCTTGTATTAAATATTATGATCTAATTACATTATTTATTAAATTTAATTAGTAATTTATAAATAATGATTTTAACACTCAACCGATGGAATAATAAAAAATTTAAAAGTCAACTTTTATTAAATTTAATTAGTAATTTATAAATAATGATTTTAACACTCAATCGATAGAATAATAAAAAATTTAGAAGTCAACTATATCCGACTCGTATAGTAATCGTTGACTTCTATCTTTTATTATTCATTAGTTATTGATAATAAAATTTATTTTATGAAAAAATATATAAAAAAAATAAAAAAGTTCATGAATTTATAAATTGAATAAATTATATTATTTAATTTATATTATAAAAATATTTTATGCCGAATTAAAATTATTTGGTTTAAATAAATGATTACTTGTCCATTATCAACTAACTTTTTATTTATAACAAATAATTTTTATGTTAGCCAATTAAATGGTATTTGTTTAAAATACTGAAATTATTGATTTTACAATTTATTTGTATCTACTTTGTTTTATTTTATTTTTTTTATTTTCTTTTTTTATTTTTTTAATTTAAATTCCAAATAAATGAAAAAATAAAGCAAATAAAATTTCCAAAAATCACGTCGCAATAAATTTTGTGCTTTAGAAAAACAGTAAAGTCAAGTTGATAGTTTACAAAATGACCTGGTACAATTTGTATGTATGATCGTTGATGTGCGCGTATGAGTTTTTCCTCGTGAAGAACGTTAGGATATAACAGACGCGATGAGACGAGGAACCGGATGAAATCTGGCGAGAATATGTTGCTCTGGGGAAATAAACGCCAGAAGACAAGCTCTTTGGCGAATATAACGTGCGCGTTCCCTTGTCGCCTTTTCCGTCGGCCACGAACAAAAAAAAAAAAGAAAAAGAAAAAAAAACGAGGAAAAGAAAAAAAAAAGAAAAAAAGTCCATATTTGTGAAGAGGTAGTTGAGGGTTAAAGGGGTGTGTCCCGGTGAACGAAGAGACGATGGTGTGAGTATATAGGACCGTAGAAAAGCGGGAGTGCAGCTGAGTAGTTTGAAAATTAAAATTCATTTACGCCAGCTTCGCGCACAGCTTTAATCCGCTTTAATAAAGAATTTTCATGGTTTTTTATCATTTTTATATTTGAGAGAATCTATATATACATATACACTTTGCGTGAATTTGTTTTTGTTTGCAATACTTTTATTGTTTTCTCTAAAAGGATTTGTATTTCTTCGAGAAAAATTGTTTTATTTATCGAAGCTGAAAATTTTTTCGAATTGGGAATAAAAATTATAATTATAGCTGTTGCAAATTTTTTGGGTCAATTCGATTCAGTTTGATACAATTTGGTAGCAATTTGATTTAATTCGGCAAAAATTTGGTTCAATTTGGTATCAATTTAAATCAATACGGTATATATACCGAGTTGAATCGAACTAAATCGAATTGAACCAAATTTTTATAGAAATTTCGATCGTTCTGATATCAAGTTGAACTAAATTTATACCAAAGTGAATCAAGTTGAATCGAATTAAATCGAATTGAACCAAATTTTTATAAAAATTTGGTTCAATTCGATTTAACTTGTTTCACTTTGGTATCAATTTAGTTCAATTTGGTATCAGAACTAAATTTTTATAAAAATTTAGTTCAATTCGATTTAACTTGATTCACTTTGGTATCAATTTAGTTCAATTTGGTATCAGAACGATCCAATTTGGTATAAATTTTGTTTAAATTGGTAAAATACGGTATCAGTTCGAAAAAATTTTATTAAAAATGGTATAAATTTGGTTCAATCCGGTATCATTTTGATCCAAATTAATTAAAATTAGTATAAATTTGGATCAATTCGGTTTAGAATTGGTTTAATTTGAAGTAAATTTAATTCAATTCGGTAAAAATTAGGTATCAATTTGGATAATTCTATAAAAATTTGTTTTAATTCCTTTATTAAAGTTATTAATTTAATATCAATAATTTGATTCAATCTGGCAAACAATTTCGTTTAATTTGGTATCAATTTCGATCAATGACGTAAAAATTTGATCCAATTCGGTTTAATATTGATTAAAATTGATATAAATTTAGTTCAATTCTGTATTAGTTGGATTAAAATTTATTAAAAATGGTATAAATTTGCTTCAATTTGGTATCATTTTGAAGCAATAAGGTAAAAATTAGGTTCATTTTGGTATCATTTGGTTTAATTCGATTTAATTTGGTTCAGTTTGGTATCATTTGGTTCAATACAGTAAAAAATTAATTTAATTCCTTTGTTTAAAAATTAATTTAATATCAATTTTGTTCAATTTGGCAAAAATTTGGTTCAATTTGGTATCATTTTGGATCATTAAGGTAAAAATTTGGTTCATTTTGGTTTCATTTGGTTTAATTCGGTATAAATTTAATTCAGTTCAGTAAAAATTAGGTATCAATTTGGATCAATTCTATAAAAATTTGATTTAATTTTTTTATTTAAGTTATTAATTTAATATCAATTTGGTATCATTTCGGATCAATAAAAAATAAAAATTTGGTTCATTTCGGTTCAATTGGATTTAATTTGGTTTATTTCGGTATCATTTGGTTCAATTTAGTAAAAATTTAATTTAATTCCTTTATTTAAAAATTAATTTAATATCAATTTGGTTCAATTTGGTATCATTTTGGACCAATAAGGTAAAAATTTGGTTCATTTTGGTTTCATTTGGTTCAATTCGATTAAATTTTGTGTTCAGTTTAATATCAATTTGGTTAAATTTGGTATGATAACGAACCAATTTGGTATAAATTTTCTTCAATTTGGTACGAATTTGATTTAATTAGGTACCAGTTCAATCAAAATTGATTAAAAATTTGGTTTGAAATTGGTTCAATTCGGTTTAAAATTGGTTTAATTTGGTAAACATTTAATTCAATTCGGTAAAAATTAGGTATCAATTTGGATCAATTCAGTAAAAATTTGATTTAATTCCTTTATTTAAGTTATTTATTTAATATTAATTTGGTTCAATTTGGCAATAATTTGGTTCAATTTGTTTTAGTTTTGATATCAGTTTGATTCAATTTTACTTAATTTGATTGATTTCAGTATCAGTTAATTCCAATTTGGTTCAATTCTGCATTAATACGATCCTACTTTGTTCAATTTGGTATAAATTTGGTTTACTTTGGTATCAATTTTGTTCAATTCAGAATAAAGTTGGTTCAATTCGGTTTAGTTCGATCTAATTTGGTATAAATTTGGTTCAATTGAACTGAAATTACAATTTTAGTTTAATTCGGTTCAATTCAGGATAAAGTAGGTTTAATTCGGTTTACGTCGATTTAATTTGGTATAAATTTGGTTCAATTCGGTACAGTTAAACTAAAATTACAATTTTAGTTTAATTCGGTATTTGGTTCAATGAGTTATCAGTTCGATCCAAATTGGTTCAAATAAATTTGGTTAAATTTGGCATCAGTTTGATATCTCCAAAACATTTTTTAATTGAATTGTAAATGAAAATTAAATTTGTTTGTTTCCATTTCTTTGATGGTTTTTTGAATAAAAATTTCAATCCAGCACTGGTCTGAAAATTAATCAGGAAAATGTTTAAAGTAAACACATTCGAAATTAGATAATTAGAATTATTTGGTGAAGAATTTTATTTTGAAAAAAAAAACTTTTTTTATAGTTGAAAAATTGCGAAGTGAGAAGATAATTCTTGGTTATATACGCTCCCTTGGACATTGTCACATTTTCTCATCTCTTTCATTTTCTTGGCGCTACTTTCTCACCTTGACGTATTACGAGTTTGGTCTCGTTTCACTATTCCATCGATCCTTGCTAAACTCCTGACCTCGTCTCATCTTGGCACTGCCCTCTGTATTCTGGAAAGTGGTATAGTATCAGGGAGTGAGGGAGGTGAGATGAAAAAGGGTCACCCTAGAAAGGTCCGTCGAGCGTACACATTCAGAGCACTGAAAACGAATTTCTACTCTTTGCTTTTAAAGTTTTATATCATTACGAAACCCTTTGAGCACTGAGTTATACGTTTCAGATCCCAGATTAAATTAAATATTTAAACAAATTCAGACCTCATTTACACTTTGTTGTTTTCGCCTTCTTTTTTTCGTATCCTTTTTTGCAGGAGTGATTGAATCTTTTTTCGTTTTCGAAAAATAGTCAAAGTTTTATTTTAAGAACTTTATTTTTTTAAGAAACATTTTTAAAATTCATTTAAATCCATATCACTATCTTGTGAGAGAATAAGAGTTGAGGAACTGTCGGTACGTGTCAAATCACTTATTTCATCGTTCCAATTATCTTGAATTTTTTCCCTTTTTGATTTATTGAATTTTTGGAGATCAACATCCATGGAATTTCTTCTTGCGATGCCCTCTGTCAGAGTATTGCGCCACTGGAATGCGTACTTGTGCGGACGTCGGAGAATCGAGGATAAAGCTTCCGCTTGAACTTCCATGAAGTTGTAGATAATCTCCTCCTCTGGACTGTTGAATTGTATCTACAAGAAAATAATGGGACCTTGAGTAACTACCGCATGGTGAAGGAGAACTTTGACAATAAATCCAACCCAGTAAGATGTGGAATGTAACGATTTGTCGAGATTAAAGCGACTAGAAACTGGTTCAATTATATTTGACGACAATTTTTTTTATTGTTCTTTATGACAAGCGATGTATTAAAATTTTATTTTTAGGGAGATTTTGGTCCAATTAATTCAGGGATATTATTTATATGATCGTTTGTCGTTATTTACGAATTGTTCAAAAATTTTCATTTCTTTATGAAATACATTTCATAAATAAATTAAATTTTTCTTGAAAACACTAAAAATATTTAATTTTGGAGAAATTACAAATAATTGAAGAAATTCAATTATTTAAAAAAAAATAAAATTCAAGTCTGTTCAAAATTTGAAAAAAATTCTTGTAAAAATCCCAATTATCTTTACCTATAAATAACAAAATTCTTCTCCACAGTTCAATTATATTCATAAATGACAAAAAAATTCTTGTTCTAATTTCAATTATTTTCAAAAATAAAATGTATTTTTCTCATTTCAATTAATTTTTTCAAAAAATTTTCTAATTTCAATGATTTTCAATATCTAAGATTTTAATAAAATTTCCCAAAAAGAATTTAATTATTTAAAAAAAATTTAATAAAACTGTATGCAAACATTTAATTATTTTCATAAATAATAAAAATTTCACAGGGATTCAATTATTTTTATAAATAATAAATTTTTTTAAAAATTATTATTTTCATAAAAAATAATTTAAAATTCTAGAAAATAATATTTGAATTAAAATGATGAAAATAATTTTGATAAAATTACAGTAAAAATATTCTTATAATATAAAATAATGATTTTATCTCTCGGTCATCTTAAATAATTAGAAAACATGAAGAAATCGATCACTCCGAGTCTTCGACTCGGAGCAATCGATATCTTCATGTTTTATAACAATTATTTTATAAGTTGTTTAATTTAAAAAAGGTTTGAATTTAAAATTTTTGAATGGCTTAATTTCCTGTGGAAAATCCTGTTGCAAAAATAAGATTAAAAATATGAATTGTGCAAATATTTTTCTTCTTTTTCTAAAACAAAATAATAATTTTGTTAAAAAAATTGTGATTCATAAACAAAAATAATGTAAAATAAATAAATTTTCTATTTCTTAATCACAGTTGTTTAACAATTTTCTAATTTTGCTTAGAAGTGAAGAACAAAAATCTACATAATTTCAATTTGACAAAATATAATATTTAACAAAATTTTAGTCTTTTAATGAAAAGAAGTGAAAAAAATTTTGGCGATTTCTATTTGTCATTACAATTTTGAATTAATTATAAAATATAAAAATAATTATAACATAATAATATAATATATACTCTATCTAAAGATAACAAAAAACAAAAGTATAAACAAAAAACAACTTCAGAGTGTGAGGGACAGAAAAAGTGAATTAATAAAAGAACATTCAAATTATTATAGTTAATTTTAATTGGAAATTTCTTAAATAATAGAAATTTACAAAGAATGTTATCAAAAACTTTTGACAATAATTGAATTTTTTTAGAAAATTTTTTTTTTACAATTTAAAAAATATTTTAATTCTTGCGAAGAATTTTACAGTGTATAAAAATAATTGAATTGTTTTGAAAAATTTTATCAAAATTTATGAAAATAATCGAATTTTATTAATATATTTAAAAATAATTGTATATTTGGTAAATTTTGATAAAATTTTATTCAAAATAATTGAATTTCTCCAAATTTTATTATTTATAAAAATAAATTAATTCTTCCAACGAATGTTATTGTTTATGAGAATAATTGAATTGTTTTGAAGAATTTTATGAGAATTTTCAGAAATAATTGAATTTTTTTAGAGAATTTTATTAAAACGTATAAAAGTAATTAATTTTTTTTAAGAATTATATAAAAAATGTTGAAAATAATTGAATTTAATTAATATTATTAAACAAATAATAGTATTCTTTTAAGAAATTTGATTAACATTGTATTAAAAATAATTGAATTCTTCTTAAGAATTTTATTATCAATGAAAATAATTGAATTCCATTGAAGAGTTTTGTTTTTTTAAATAATTGGATTTCTTGGAAGAATTTTATTAAAAATTTTGAAAATAATTAAATTCAATGGAAAAATTTTATTAAAACTTATAAAAATAATTAATTTTTCTTAAGAATTTAATAAAAAGTGTTGAAAGTAATCGAATTTAATTAATGTTTTTAAAAATAATTGTATTTTTTCTAGAAATTTTAGAAAAATTGTATTCAACATAATTGAATTCCTTCAAATTTTACTATTTACAAAAATTAATTCTTCCAAAGATTGTTATTATTTATGAGAAAAATTGAATTGTTTCGAAGAATTTGACGAAAATTTTTGCAAATAATTGAATGTTTTAAAAGAATTTTATTAAAAATTATGAAAATAATTGAATTCAATCGAAAAATTTTATTAAAACGTATGGAAGTAATAAATTTTTCTTAGGGATTCTCTATAAAAACTGTTGAAAATAATTGAATTTAATTAATGTTTTAAAAAAAATAATAGTATTCTTTTAAGAAATTTTATTAAAATTGTAATTATGTAATTATGTAATTATGTAAAATTGTATTAAAAATAATTGAATTCTTCTTAAGAATTTTATTATTAATGAAAATAATTGAATTCCATTAAAGAGTTTTGTTTTTCTTATGAAAATAATTGAATTTCTCCGAAGAATTTTATTAATTTTGAAAATAATTGAATTCCTCCAAAGAATTTTATCAAAATTGTTAGATTACATAATACATTAATTTCGTATGATGTAAATATTTAAAAAAGTATTTTGAAAAATATTAGTTTATTTTCCTTTTTTTTGTAAAACTAGTGATAGAAAATTTTCTTTGGACATTTTTTCCTTTCCGTTAAATTTACAAGGTTGCAAGTTTCGCTTCTTATCTGTATAAAGTTTTTTGCTTAAATTAGAAAAATTCTCTGTGATCTTTTAAAATACCTCTTGTGAAGTTTCAAGTTTTGAAAAAGTTGGCGTTGTTGATTTTTCTTCAGGGACAAACGTGGTGGAAAGTTTTCTTTGGTGTTGCTTGTAATACTGTTTAGGAAAGAGAAAAGCAGCCGTGTCCTCGAAAATTTTATCTTGAAGTTGTAAAATTTTTCTAAGTTTACGCTTTTTTTCATCGGCTTCCTGTCGCATTTTTAAAATTGGCGCACGACGTCTGTCAAGTTCCTTTTTATTTAAACCCTTCATCTCGAGAATGGCAGTTTGCATTCGTTTTAGTTCCATTGACATCCAACGTGATCGAGCTGCTTCAATAAAATTCATTGGCTGTGTCTGAAAAATGGCGATTTTTTTTATTCTTTAATTTTCATATTTTTAATTTCAATTTAAAGAAAAAATTTATTAAATTTAAATTAAATATAAAGAAAAATTTGATTTTAATTCTAATTCGAAAAATTGAATAATTAATATTTATTTATTACTTGTTACAAAGCTATTTAAAATTATTTTCGATAAAAAAAATTTTTTTTTAAATTTTAGCAAGAAGGGAAAACTTTGTGCTAAAATGAAAAAAAAAATTTCTCCGGAAACTTGAAACTGAATTGAAAGTTTTTAACTTCTATATTCAATTTTACCTTTGGCAATTTGTTAGTTTTTGATGTTTCTTGAATTTCTCGGGCGTTTTCTTCCTCGGCTTCTTTCATTCTTTTTTCGTTCTCAAGTTCGGATAATTTCTTATTCTCCTCTATGGTCTCAATGTTAGTGGCACTCCAATTTTTCTGCCACTCTTCGAAATCGTTTATCTATTTTTTTTCAACAGAAATATTAATTAAGAATTATTTATGAAATTTTAATTATAAATTATTAAGAAAATGTCAAATTTAATAGAAAGTAGAAAATTGTAAAAAAAACGAAAAATTTTAGATTTTTATTTTTTCTTCGAAAAAAACTATTTAGTTTTTTAAAGTAAATACGAGAAATATTAATTAAGAGAGAATTGTATTTTTGAATTATCTCAAGAAATCATTTTCTTTAAAGGCAAAGAAAGAGTCAAACTTGGGGAATTTGTAATTTCGAGTAAAATTCTCGACTACATTTACTGGAATAAATTTGAAAATTCCGTTCTACCGACCGCGCCAAGATTTCAAGTACATTCCTGTTTCAATAAAAAGCACAGATGGTGCTAAAATTCTAAAGAACTAAATTTACCCTCGAAAAGCATTGTAATTTTATATTTTTTTTTAAGTCCCTTTTTTTCTTGGAATTTCTCGTAAAAATAAAATATCCAATTTGGATTTTTTTCCAAGACGTTAATCTTAATGATAATGAATGTTCATTACGTGAGATCGATGTTTATTCGATTTATCATCTTGTAACTTGAAATCTCTTTCAAATTATCAGTAATAATTAATCAATAGTAATCAGGGAGAAAACCTTTTGCAACAATTGACTTTTTTTCAAAATTAAATTTCCATTGTCTTTATTTTTTGTTTTTAATTTAATTTTTTAATTTTTATTTTGTTCATTTATTTATTTTATTTTGTATTTAGTTTTATTTAATTTATTTTTAATTTTTAATTTTCTTATTGGTTTTTGTGTAAAATTAAATTTTTCTTGTTTTGTATTTTTTTTCAGTTTAATTTTTTTTTATTATTATTTAATTTATTTAATTTTTTATTTATTTTGTTTTTTATTAATTTTATTTATATATTTATTTTATTTATTTAGTTTTATTTATTTACTTCTTCATTATAATTATTTATTTATTTAATTTTTCAATTTTAATTTTATTATTTTTTTTATAAAATTAAATTTTTACTGTTTGTATTTTATGTTGTTATTAAATAAATTGTTTAATTGCAGTGAAGAGATAAATTCCTGCGGGATTAATTGTACATATTGTTTTAGAAATGGTTTAATGAAATAATTGGATAATAATGATTGACACTGACTCCCTTTATTGTTCGCCTAATGAAACTTTCCATCCACTTGATATCGTTCTTGTAATCGGATATTATTGTTGGCGATAAAAATAGTCTCAGTGCGCCATTATAATCACAAAAAGCAGTGCACTGAGGATTTAGGGGTAATTCGTGATTATAAATTCCAGTGAGAAGACCGCCCGATATATTTTGCGTGACACTTGCCTCCATACTTTTTGTCGTGAAATTCCAAATTTCAATTGTTCCATCTAAACGCGAGACAATCAATACAGTTGGTCGATAATTGTCCCAAACACACGCAGTGTACCTTAAAAAATAAAAAAATCAGATAATAAATAAGAAAATAAATAAGAAAATAAATATTAAAAAAATCTTATGGTCGATAATTACCCCAAGCAGATGCTGTATAGCTAAGCAAATAGAGAAATACGATAATAAATAAGAAAAAATCTCTAAATTCGATTCGAAAAAAAATGTAATAAATTATTATTTATTTTCCTATTTCCTGTTATAACCAAATAAATTATAGTCATATTTTTTCTCCTTACTGAAAATAACTGTCTAAAAACAAAAATTACTGAATGAAAATAAAATTTTTCACTTATGTAAATTAATATCTTTTTAATTACGAAAAACTCCAAAATATTGCTAGAAATGAGTTGTTTATAACAAATTCAGATTATTTTAAAAAAATTTTATTCAATTTATTTTTATTCATTTATTGATTAGTAATATGTTCCATTAGATTTTTGATATTTGCAACTAAAATTGTTATTGTACATTATTTGAATGTACTTAGTACCATTTATATTATTAAAATTATGATTGTTATTATTATTACTATTGTTATTATTATGCCATTATTAAGCTAAAACCCTTTCGGGGATTTGAGTCAGTGCTATTATAACATTACATACTTGACTGGGCAATGTAGATTTAATGCCATTGTTAAATCGTTAAATCAATATTGAAAATATTGAACTTAAATGATTCCCGTTTATAAACAATGAAAATTTTCATAAATATTAATGAATAAATCACATTAAATTAGCATTATCATTCTCCTCTGAATATCCGATTATAGACCGATATAATGTTTAATATTTCTTTCATTTTTTTTTTTAATATTGCGAATTTATTAACGAAATTTTATTATTATAGTAATAATGCAATACTTTGAACTTTGTTAATTATATACATATATAATATTTTGATTATTAATTATTCGATATTTTAATTAATAAATATGTGGAAGATTTTAGTTATTAATGGGATAATTTTTTAATTAATAGTTGCACTCATTGTTAATCATTATTTATTATTTACAAGAGAATTTTTTTATTGTTGTTTATTACTTATTTAGTATTTAGAAGAGAATTTTTTATTATTAATTATTAATTTTTTTCTATTTCAATGATTAATTATTAATAAGTTGTACTAATTGTTAATTAATTTAAAATTGAATTGTTTTATTCATTATTGTTCTATTTTTTATTATTTTATTGTTTGCTACTTATTTATTATTTAGAAAAGAGTTTTCTATTCTTTATTTAAATATTTAGAAAGGAATTGTTTATTATTTATTTATTATTTAGAAAAGAGCTTTTTTATTATTCATTTATTATCCAGAAAAAAATTGTTCATTATTTATTTATTATTCAGACAAGAATTTTTTATTATTTATTCATTATTTAAAAAAGAATGGTTTATTATTTATTTATTATTTGTAAAAAAATTTTTTTTTATTTAGGGAAGAATTTTGCTTTTACTTGTTTATTATGTAAAATATAATTGCTTATTTATTTACTATTTAGAAAAGAATATTTTTAATTATTTAAAAAATAGACTTTTATTATATATATTTATTATCTAGAAGAGAATTGTTTATTATTTATTTATTATCTAGAAAAGAATTGTTTTTCTTATTATTTATTTTTTATTGTTTGGAAAAATGTTATTAGTTTTAATTTTTAAAAAGGGGTGTACCTAAATTCGGATCTGTTCCAAAAGAAGGGACGGCGGAAATTTTCTTTCCATAAAGCAAAGATTTTTCCACCAGCGGTTAATATTAGATCGGAGATGAATGGAGATCTCACTGCTTGGGTAATTGGTCCATCGTGGATGATATTTATCCAATTCCATTGACACGTTTCGCGATTAATAATTTGACCGGTTGAAAAGTTGAAACCCTCCCATGTTATCACTCCACAATGTCCTGTGGCTGTTCCTATAAATTTTTAATATTTTTTTTCGCCCAAAAATTATTTTTGTAGAAAAAATATTATTTATTTACAGTAAATAATATTATTTTTAATATTTCTTTTTGTAAAGAAAAAATATTTTCTGTGAACATTTTTGTTTATTATCGTAAATATTTTATTGTTTACTATTATTTTTAATTTTTTTATTATTATTAAAAATTAGTTTATTTAGATTGTTTAAATATTAAAAATCAGTAAAATTTACTAATAAATTAGCAGAAATTACTATTTATTAGTAAAATTTACTAATTCCAAAGCGAAAAGTCAGTCACTAATTCAAATTATTAAATATTTTTATTTACTAATTAAAATTTAGAGTAATTAATTTTAGTGTAATTTCATTTCTTATACTATTTTATTTAATTAGTCGTTAGCTTTTTTATTTACGTATATATATATATAAAAATAATTGGAAAACATACCGATAAAAATTTTCGGTTCCATCTCGTATGATGGTTTCTTTAGTACATTTTTAAAGCATTTACGAAATAAAATATCGTTATTTTCATTAGAATTGTGATTAGTTTGTTCCTTGAGAATTTTTGGAAAATATATGTTCATTGTCGTTATTATTAAACGACGTCCAAACTGAGGATGAACGACATTTATTACATAATCGGGATGCCAAATTCCATCCAATTCCTTATAGGGCGATGTTACTTTCAACAAAATATCAGGTTTTGGTACTTTCGATTTGTCTCGTTTTATATTCAGTCGCCTTCGTTTCTCAAATATTGTTTCCAAACTAACGATTAAAAGTAAAATTATTATATTACAGTGAAACCTGTCGGAATGCAACTCGATTATTTAAATTTTATAACAGTAAACTATCGTTAAAAAAAACTAATTAATTTAATTTTGTAGCTAATATTTTTACAATATTCTCAAACTAAGTGAAAATAATTTTGTTGGACATTTTTTAATACAAAAAAATTTTTTAAATAGATTAGCATTCAGACAGGTTCGACTGTAAAGGATTTGTGGGAATATTTTATGAAAAAAACTTTTAATCTTTAATTATTATTATAATTAAATATTTTTTAATTATTTAAAAATTTTAATTTAACTTGTATTTAATCTAATGTTTAATTATAATTAATATAAAACGTTTGTATTTTGTTGAGAATATTTTCACATGAATTTTTTTCCTCCAAATATTCTTATATTGGAAAAAAAACTGACTTTAAATCCCAAAAGGCGACAGTTCCATCCTCACTGGAAGTGATAAATTGACAGGTTAAATTTGTGGTTGGTGTTTCGGCCGTTAAACTAATGATTTTTCCATCTTTGCCAATTTTATTATAACACGGCACCCAAACAATTTGGGTAATTCGACCTTTTTGACTCGATTGAAGAGCGGATGTTGCGGTGATTTCAATATCCGATGATCCTCTTACGCCCTTCATCCAGGACATTAAACTTTTCATGAGCGCTTTGTGTCTCATTTGTGATGTTGTGTACACTTCGGTGGATTCCAATTTTTCCATCAGGTCGGGAATATGCCAGAGAACAATCTGTAGAGAAAAAGAGAGAAAAAGAGAGAAAGAAAGAGTGGAGAAAAAAATGAGAGTAGCGATAATATTATGATAAAAGTAAAGAGAGAAAAAAGTGTTTTTTTAAAAAATGTTTCTTTTTAAAAGTGTCTGTTTTTTTTAATTTTCCCATTGCTTTCAATAAATTTGCCCGCACAGTGGAAATTTTTGAATTATTATTTACTTGGCCATTAGCGTAACCGCCGATTATTAGATTTCCATCGTAGGGACAAATGGAGACGGCTGAAATTTCTCTCGGTGAATCGAAAATTAATTTTGGTGAAAGATTATCAGTGAAGGACCATAATAGAGTTTTGTGATTTTTTGCTGTTACGTTTCGAACCTGTTGGGCAAATTTTGCTTATTTTTTATTGCAAAAAAATATCGTTTTTTATCACAGTGCAAACTGGGTCTGTGAGACCTTGATATTCAAAGTAGCATTATTTCTAAACAACTGATCCAATTTAGTTTGGAAAAATGTTTAATTATTCTCTGAATATTTGTAGAAAACGCCTCTATGTTTAGAGATGTTTATAAAAAATATTAAAATGCAAAATAATGATCAGTTATTAGAATAACTAATTAGTAGTAAATATAGTATTAATAATTATTAGTAATTAGAAGAACTAATTAGTAGTAATTAGTATTAATAATTAGCAGTAATTAGGTGAACTAATTAGTAGTAATTAGGTGAACTAATTAGTAGTAATTAGGTGAACTAATTAGTAGTAATTAGTATTAATTAATAATTAGCAGTAATTAGAAGTGATTAGCCATAATAATTAGCAGTGATTAATAGTAAAAATCAGTGGTGTTTAGTACTATTAATGGCTAATTATTGGTAATAATTAGTAGTAGCCATTCATAATAGTTTAAAAATTCAGAGAATTATTCACCTCATTATCACGTCGGGGTCCAATAAATTTACTACACTTGGCAAAATCCGTGTAAGCACACACAGCAATTCCAGTTAAAAATGGATGCCAACTGAGATCATTAATAACTTTATCCGTACAAAGTTTACCGTCGTAATAATTTCCATATTCCTTGTAAGCAACTGTCGTCAATGTTTCACCATCTTTCTCGAAATTAACAAGATTGACATAATCATTGGCATGCACGTCCCAAGTGGAATTCAACAGCATCTAATATACGCAGAAAAACAAACCCAATACGAAACATTTGACTATAAATTTTATATTTATTATCTATATTTCGTTACAAAAAAAACGATATATGACGAGGGTCAAAAGAAGAAGAAAAAACCACTAAAAGAAAGGTAGATTCCGTGGTGAGAAAGATAATTTTCTAGAGAAAATGAGAGCACGGGAAAAAATCTATTATGCTTTTACTTTATTACAACTGTGAGAAAAAAAGGAAAGAAAAAAAGTGTCAGTTTGGATTTACAGATTTCACGTGACTTTACTTGTAAAATCGTGTGCCACGTGGAACTTAAAATAAAACTTCATCCTTCTCTTTTTTTTTATATCTGTAAATCATATTTATGTGCAGAAATGTAATTACCAACAGAATTCATAGGATTTTCGAAAGAAAATTTTTAAATCGAATTTAGAGCATTTTTTCGGTTTTTTGCTTCTTTTTTTTGTACCTATTCGATTGAAGTTCATTAAAAGTTAGGGACAAATTAAAAAAAAATGTTTTCTCTTATTTTTGATAGTAATAGTAAATAATATAGTTTTTTGAAATTTAGATTTATATTTAAATAAATATAATAGAAAGTCAGAAGAATTCAATTATTTTTAAAAATTCAGATTTACTAAATTTGAATATTCTTTAAAAAAAACTTTTTTACAAGAATTCAATTATTTTCATAAATTTCCATAAAATTCTAAAAAGCAATTAAATTATTTTAAAAAGTAATAAAATTCTTCGCAAAAATTCAATTATGTTAAGAAATTTTTTTAAATTCTCGTCAAAATTTCAATTATTTTTAGAAATAATTAAATTCTTCTCCAAAAGTCAATTATTTTCAAAAATTTTAATAAAATTCTTGTCAAAATTTCAATTATTTTCAAAAAATTTCCTCAATTCAATGCTTTTCAATATATTTGTTATTTTAATAAAATTTTTCAAAAAATTGAATTATTTAAAAAATTTTAATATAATTTTACCCCAACATTTAATTATTTTCATAAAATAATAAAACTTTCACAAAAATTCAATTATTTACAAATTTTTTATAAATTTCTTCGCAATATAATTCAATTATTTATTTAAATAATAAAATTGTTTACAGGGATTCAATTATTTTTCTAAATAATAAAATTCTTTTTAGAAATTTAATTATTTTTATAAATAGTAAAACTCATCTCGGAATTTCAATTATTTTTAATATAATTTTAATCGAATTCCTCGAAAAATGTAATTATTCTTAAAAATGTCATTAAAATTCGTCGAAAGAATTCAATTATTTCTATAAATAGCAAAATTCTTCAGATTTACTAAATTCTTTTAAATATTATTAAAAAAAAAAATTCTTCATACACTGTAAAAAAAGGGAGTTAAATTTTAACTCCCCCGGGGGGTCTATAAAAGTCGCACCCATTGGGGAGTTAATGCCAGGGGAGTTAAATAAAGAGAGTTAAAATTTCACACCCAAATGCTAACTCCCCAAGGAAAAAATAACTCGCGCGCGTGTTGAATGAAGGGAGTTGGAAATTAACTCTCTTTTGGAGTTGATTTTTAACTCGAAAAATTTCACTCCCAACTCCCGAGTCCGTTAACTCCCTAAATTTTTTACAGTGTAAGAATTCTAAAATAAAGTAATAAATTAAAATAAATTCTAGAAAACAATTCAATTATCTTCAAAAATTTTTCTAATTTCAATGATTTTCAATATGTACTATTTTAATAAAGTTTTCCAAAAATAATACAATTATTTAAAAAAAATTTAATAAAATTGTATCTAAACATTTAATTATTTTCATAAATAATAAAAACTTCACAGAAATTTAATTATTTTTATAAATAATAAATTTTTTATAAGGAATTCAATTATTATTTTCATAAAAAATAATTTAAATTTCTAGAAAATAATAATTGAATTAAAATGATGAAAATAATTTTTATGAAGTTACAGTAACAATATTCTTATAATATAAAATAATGATTTTATCTCTCGGTCATCTTAAATAATTAGAGAACATGAAGAAATCGATCACTCCGAGTCTTCGACTCGGAGCAATCGATATCTTCATGTTTTATAACAATTATTTTATAAGTTGTTTAATTTAAAAAAGGTTTCAATTTAAAATTTTTGAATGTCTTAATTCCTGTGGAAAATCCTGTTGCAAAAATAAGATTAAAAATAGGAATTGTGCAAATATTTTTCTTCTTTTTCTAAAAGAAAATAATAATTTTGTTAAAAAAATTGTGATTCATAAAGAAAAATAATGCAAAATAAATAAATTTTCTATTTCTTAATCACAGTTGTTTAACAATTTTCTAATTTTGTTTAGAAGTAAAGAACAAAAATCTGCATAATTTCAATTTGACAAAACATAATATTTAAAAAAATTTTAGTCTTTTAATGAAAAGAAGTGAAAAAAATTATGATAATTTCTATTTGTCATTACAATTTTGAATTAATTGTAAAATAAAAATAATTATAACATAATAATATAATATGCACTCTATCTAAAGATAACAAAAAAAACAAAAGTATAAACAAAAAACAACTTCAGAGTGTGAGGGACAGAAAATGTGAATGAATGAAAGAATATTCAAATTAATTATTATAGGTAATCTGTTAATAATAGTTAATTAATAATTAATAGTTAGTTTCATGAAGCTTGATAATTTATACTTAGATAATTATGCAAAAGTGGGTCAATCAGCTCAATTAACCAATCACTCAATCAGACAATTAAAATTTACATTTTCTTTCAATTATAAATTTTTAATAATTATTATTGATCCAATTTCAAACAACCGCCTTAATAATAAAAATAATTTTTTTCTCACCGCCTTTTATTAGAAAAAATAAAATTGCTGAATTTCAATTGTCTCGAATTAGTGATGATTGATTAATCGTGGTAGTAAAACAAAGTCTTCTATGAAATAGAAAATGAAAAAAAAAAGAAAAAGATTGAAAGGAAAATGGTTTTTTCAGTACTTTTTACTGCTGGTCATGAAATTCAGAAAAGATACGCGTCTTTTATGGCAATATCGGTTTATGATGGTAGCAGGAGGACTAACTCCACTGTGAATTTTCTCTAGTTGGAGGATCGTAAATGTAATTAAATTCACTACCCCCTCCCCTTCCCTTCCTTTCCCCCTCTAGCATGCACCTTCTTGGTTGAGAGTACAGAAGATTTTAATAACCAAATTGATATTACAACGATACCTAAAGATGAGAGGGAAACTTTAGGTAAAGTAAGTCTGGAATCTTAGTTTTCCATTGCTTTTCATTATATATACAAGGTTCGCGTTGTTACTTGTTACTGGAGCATTTTAGAGGAATTTTCGAAATATTCAGGTCAATTAGGAGACTTTTAATTGATAGAAAATTACTTCTTTCGTTAAGTTTCATGGGAATTAGGTATCGCAGAAAAGATGTTTTATTTTTACGTTGTGGAACTTTTTATAATATATATAATAAAATCGAGATATTCTCTTCTCACAGAATTGCAATTTTTAGATATAATCAATTATTTTTGTATTTAAATAATTGAATACTCGCACAACTTTTTAATAAGATTTTATTTGAAAAAGATTTTCAAGAATTTCAGTTAAATTTGTAATAATAATTTTGTAATTTTGTAAATAATAATACGAATTAAAATTAAATTTAAAATTAGAATTAAAATAATAATAATTTTGTAAATATGTACATTCTTTTTTCTTTTTTCTTTTTTTTTTGGTTCGTAATAATTAATTACCTCGTTAGTAATGTAGTCGTCCTGTTTCTTGAGAAATTCGTTGAGAGACTGAAATTTCCTTTTAGGAAGTTTCAAAAGATCAAATGTAGAATATTCCAATGAGTGCTGAGACCATGTATTCGTTTGAAATTTAGTTACAGTTTGAGTTTCGTTATCCCCAAAAGTTGGAGTTACTTGGACAGCAGTATCATTTAAAAGCTTTGAAACATTTTCGAAGGTCTCTCGATATGGAGTCAGTTTTACGTAACCGTCCCTTTGATCGTCAACATCTCGATTCGATAATATTACACGCCTTTTCATTAATTTTGAGTTCAGCTCCAACTATAAAGATGATAATTAATTATTATTTGTGATTTCATTATAATGACAAATTGGGTAATTTTTTTTAGGACAATTTTTTTATTCTCTTTCTCTTTTTTTATTTTTCCCCTTATTTTTATTCTTTCTCTCTTTTTTATTTTCTCTTTTTCTCTTATTCTCTCTCCCTCTCTCTCTATTTTATTCTCTCTTTTTTATTCTCTCTCTGTTTCCTATTCTCTCTCCTTCTTTTATTCTTTCTATTTTTTTATTGTTTCTACTTAATTAAAAAAAGATTTTATTTAACTAAAAATAATTTTATTTAATTGAAAAATATATTCATTTAATTAAAAAAGATTTTTGTTTTATTTGAAAAAGATTTTTTTTCAATTTCAAAAAGATATATTTATTTAATTAAAAAAGGTTTTATTTAATTGAAAATGATTTTATTTCGACGAAAAAAGTCTTTTTTAATTAAGTAATAGTTTCAGTTTATGAAAAAAAAACGAAAAACAAAAATTTAACATTTATAATTTTTATTTTTAATAATTTTTTTGCAGTTAATTTTTGTTTTCTGTTTTTTTTTCTTTTCTTTTTGAAAACGAATTTAATTTGTTTTGTCATTGAACCTCAATTTGAAGAAGTGGCCTGACATTTTTGACGATAGTATCGTCGACTTCAGTTTTACTATCAAAATCAATCCAATCACCGGCAACTTTGTAAACGGCACTTTGAACTCGACTTTCGAGATTTAATCTTTGAAATTCAATTTGACGAATTACAGCATCCCTTCCTTCTTCAGTGAGACAAATGTAAAATTGTCCATCATCATCTGACGATGGCGCGTAGCCAATTAAAATCTTTGCTTCCGGATAAGTTTCAATTTCATCTTTAATATCTAAAAAATCACTGCTCTCGTCATGAAGATCAATATTGTCCTCGATTAATTCTTTTTTTATGTAAATCCATGGATATTCGGTAGTGACATTTTCACCGATTACACAGCCAACGATTTTTTGTGTCAGTGGCGATAAATCAATTCTCGCTATGCCTGGTATACCCTACATCAAATTTAATGATTGTCAATAACAAAATCAGAAAATTATTTTTATTATTATAATTAATTATAAAATTATGTAAGTAATTGTAATTAAAATAATAAATTGTGTTTATAATTAATTATAAAATTATATAATTAATTGTGATTCAAATATTAAATTTTGTTTATAATTAATTTCAAATTGTTATTTCTATTTATAATTAATTATAATTAGTTTCATTATAATTAACTATAATTATTTTTAATTATTTCTTTTTATTTAATAAATTTTATTGACTTTTATTATTATTTTTAATTATTTATTTTTTAAAATTTTATTATTATTTTTACTTTAAAAGTTTTTGTTATTAAAGAAAAAAATTTTTTATTAATTCTTAATGTTTAACATTAAATCTGGTTTATTATTGTCGAGAAATAATTAATCTGACCAAAAAGTATAAAAGTATAACCGTAGATTGGGAATAGCGAACACTTTTATTGCTTTCCTCTGAATCTACTTTTTTCAATTTAGAAACAGTTGCTTCTGTTTTGTAAGAATCGAGATTACTGATTGATTTTCTTTTGTTCTTTAATTCTTGTATTTCAGACGGTTTTTCCTTTTTCAAATCTGTGCAAAAAAGGTGTTATGGAACTTAAAAATTTATTATTAATTTTTTCTACAATTTATAATTGTGAATTTATTTAGGTTTATTAACTTGTTGATTTAATATAATGTTTGCAATTATTAGTTATTTATTAAGTCTCTATCAATTTGCTATTAACTTATTATTATTAATTACTAATTTATTGAGTAATTTTTAATTTATTATGAATTATCAGTTATAAATGATAAATAATTAATTTTTTATATTTTTAATTTGTTATTTGCTTTTTTCGTTTAGTTTTTAATTATCATTTATTTTACAAAAAAAAAAAAAAAAAGAAATTGAAAATAAAAAATATTTTTTTCATTGTTAAAATTTGCAATCGTCAATTATTTATGTTCTAACCTTTCGTCTGTTCGGATGGTCTATCGATTAGAATGATTTCATTTGTCAGTGAAAAATGAACTCGTCTAAATTTGTCTCCTTCATTATTTTTGTATTCACTTTTATTTTCGTATTGATCATTTTCATCCTCATCATTCTCGGGACATTCTTCAAAATCAAATTCGTATTCTACTTCTTCATTGGTTTGTACATCTCGTTGACCTCGGGAAAAACTAACATCTTCTTCAAAATCAGGTTGTTCCTCTTTGTAATTTTCAACCAAGTTCTCATTCATGCCGCACGTTTATCTAACAGAGGTGAGAGAATTCTTCGATTTTCTGATTGAATTCACTTTACAGACTGCACCTTTTATGACCTCACCCGTTTGATTCTTGTGATTATTTCAAACGTCTGAATAAAAATAGAATCAAATTGAATGAAATGTCGTCGACTGAAAATACTGAAAGTTGCATTGGTTATTTTTTTGTTATTAAAAACAAATGAAATTGAATTGAAATTGAATGAAAATAAATTTAATTTGAAATTTTTATTACGATTTTTAACAAATTATATTTTACTTTTACTTATCTATGAATTCTTATAATATAATGATTATATAATTACAGCATTTTTTGTCTTTTGTTATTTTTATTTATTTCTGTTTTTTTATTGTTTGTTTTCCCAATTAGTCGAAAAACTATTATTTAACCTTTTTTTTTTTTAAATGTTCTCAATTTAAAAAAGTAAATTTTCAAGTGCAGAATTTTCCAATAGGAAATTTTTCCTGTTTCGTAAATAAAGTTTAACTTTTCGCATTCATCATTATGTAATAAAATGACAAACACTCATGAAAGGGGAGGGAATTGTATTTCTATTTCTCAACTTTTCATAATTAACGTCAATGACACGAAAAGAAGTTTTAGCTTTTTCTACGAATTGTAGCTTTTTTCCACATTAATCATGTCCGTTGAAAAAGTAGGTCAAATTTTTTCCCCCAGTTTTCTTACGTTAATCCATATAATGAGTTTATAAAGTTGAAAAATTAACAATTTTTCTTACACAGACATACAACAATGAAACATTTTCTTTTTTTTTTTTTTTTTTTTGTTATAAACTTATAAACTGGATTTAAAATTTTTTTATTTCTCTGGTATATGTGTAAAAATGATTTCGCTCTGTTTATTAAGAGTTTTAATGGAATATTTTTTCGCAAGAATTTTATGAAATATGCAAATTTTATTATTTCATGAAGGAATCTGCGAAAAAAAAATTATTATTAACCATTATTATGAAAAATGGTTTGCAATATCAATTTTTTTTCAGCGCAATATTTTTTATTATCCATTTTGATAATCGAGAATTAGCAGTTTATGAAGGAAATGAAAGCAATGTATACATTTATGATATGCACATTACATGTTGTAAAACATTTTTTTTAGAGGAAATTTACGTCGATTTTTTCTAGCATACAGTATCATGTAAATTGAAATTAAAAAAAAATGTCGTGAATTGAGAGAGAGAGAGAGAGAGAGGGAAAAAAATGTCATTATATTATGAAGATAAATTATCATTTAATAGGGAAAATTACTAATAATTACAAATTATTATTAATTATTATTGTAATTATTGCAACAATTATTTTAGAAATATCTTTTGAAAAAAAGGCAAAAAAATGTTTTCAAAAAATTAATGAAATTTTGAAAGAGAAAATTGTATTTTGAAAAAAGAAATGTCTTCAAATTTTTCTGAAATAATTTTTTGATTCGATTTATCGCATTAAGCGAATTTTTTTTTAAAAGGGTTTTTCAGAAACGCTTCAGTACTTAGAAGTAGTTTATTAAATTCTGGCCTTTTGTTATTCAACAAGAGATTTTTTTTAAAAAATGTATTTTTTCCGAAACTATGACAAAAAAAAACGAAACAAAATAACGTCATCTCTGATTCAGAATTGTTATTAAATTTTGTTAAACAAGAGATTTTTTTTTTAATGTATTTTTTCCGAAACAAAGCAAAATAACATCATCTCTGATTCAAAATGAAATTATATCTTGAAAAACGAAAATGGTCTTTGATGTATTTTTTAGGTTTTTTTTTGAAGTCGATTATAAATTTGGTGTTTTTTGGTATAACAAAAGCTTTCTTTTGAAAATCGGATTTTTTCCGAAAAGCCGCTGAACTTGGAAACTGTTTAATTTTTATCTGTGATTCACAAAAAAATTTATATCTCGAAAAACGATGATAGTCTTTAAACTTTTTTTTTTGTTTTTTGATCCATCAAATCGACATGTCGATTATAAAAATTAGACTTTTTTGATTAAAAATAAAAATAAAATGTTTCGGAGGAATTCAATTATTTTCAAGATTTTTAATAAAAATTCAATTATTTTCAACAATTCTGATAAAATTCTTTGAAAAAATTCAATTATTTTTATATATTGTAAAATTCTAGTCAAGAATTTAATTTTTTTTGAAAAATAATATATAAAATTCTTCTGTGAAATTCAATTATTTATTTATTTTCAATTTCAATACAATTTTAATTAAATTTCTAGGAAAAAATTCAATTATATTCAAGATAATTTTAATAAAATTTCTCTAACAGGTTCAATTTTTTTTAAAAATAGTAATAAAATGTTTCTAAACAATTCAGTTGTTCTCGAAAGCTTTTAATAAAATTCTTTGTAAATTTCAATTATTATTTTCAAAATTTTCAATTAAAATTACTTTAAAAAATTACTTTTTTTTTACGGAAAAATTTTAAATTAAGAATTTTTATTAAAAGAGACAAAACAATAAATTAAATATTATTCATTTAATGAATAATATTCAGAGTGTTAATATTTTCGTCGGTAAACTATAAAATCACGTTTACTCGTCGTCATTTTTTTGATATAAAAAATAAACACGTGAATTGAAGTTATTTTACTTTCTTTACGTGTCACTCAACTTTAGTCTGTTATACACGTACACATGGTGGAAAATTTTGTAATATAACGTGCCAGTGGTTCACATATACACTTCAATACAAATGAAGCCTGGGAGGTAACCACCAGAACCGGAATTGCCCGACATGGTTTTAGATGCACTTCCTCTCTCTCTCTCTCTTGCTCTGCTTCTCTCTTTAACTTTTCCTTCTACACTCGCACTGAAGGAGCAATACTCTCTCTCTCTCTGGTGCAGGATATCATTGCCTTTGCCTTGGCTCTATGCTGAAATTAGTTTTCAGGATTATTTCGCGCCGAGAGTCCGTTGCGATTGCCTCTTACGTTTCGTATCCTTGTGGCGCAGTGAAAACCCCACCTAACATCACCCCTCCTCTTAGATTACTTGATGATTTCACACTCTCTATCTTCAACCGCAATTGGTCCTCTCTAAATCTGCTAATAATTTTCTGATAAACCGAAAATTATACTGTGAGGGGGCAAAGTTGCTGGATCTTGTAAAAAATTTTATTTCCCTGTCAGCAGGATTTTAAATTTTAATACGCGTATGATTTTCATTTAAATCTAATTTTTAATCTTCATTCTGTAATTCTAGCAACAATTTTAACTGCCTAACTTCTTACTGACTTTTTTAAATAAAATTAACAATTTTAAAAATAATAAAATTTAAAAATTTTCTAATTTACATTTTTGTTGAAAGCACTAAAAAAATTAAATTTTTGAGAAATTACAGATAATTGCAGAAATTCGATTATTTTCAAAACAAAAAAAAAAAAATTTTTCTTATAAAATTCAACTAGGATGTGCAAAATTTGAAAAAAAATTTAAAAATTCTCGTAAAAATCCCAATTATCCTGTTTAAATAATAAAATTGTTCTCCAAAGTTCAATTATTTTCATAAATGTCAAAAAAATTCTTGTCCTAATTTCAATTATTTTCAAAAATATAATAAAAAAAAATAAAATAAAATAAAAAATAAAATAAAAAAATAAATAAATTAAATTAAATTAAATGCATTTTTCTAATTTCAATGATTTTCAATATCTTCAATATCTTCTTTGAGTAAGTATCGTTTAGACACAAAAAAAAAAAAAAAAAAAAAAAAAAAAAAATATTTGATTCTTTCTATATTTTATATAAAAAAAAAAAATTTGTTAAATTTTTTTTTTTTTTTTAATTTTTTATTAAAAAAAAAAATTTTCAACTTTACATTTTTATATATAATTTTCTAAAAGAAAATAATAATTTTGTTAAAAAAATTGTGATTCATAAACAAAAATAATGCAAAATAAATAAATTTTCTATTTCTTAATCACAGTTGTTTAACAATTTTCTAATTTTGCTTAGAAGTAGAGAACAAAAATAATTTCAATTTGACAAAACATGATATTTAATAAAATTTTTGTCTTTCAATGAAAAGAAGTGAAAAAATTTTTGATGATTTCTATTTTTAATTACAATTTTGAATTAATTATAAAATAAAAATAATTATAACATAATAATATAATATACAATCTATCTAAAGTTAAAAAAACAAAAGTATAAATGTCTGACTAGAAAACTCCTTTACTACTGAAACTAAAATAATGCGATTTTAAAGTGTGTCTGACTATAGTTTGACTCAATAGTTTTTATTTTTATACTAACGCAAAAATTGTATTTAGAAAAATTCTTGATAAATTTAATCGCTGTCTGACTAAAATAGTGTTTACTACTAAAATACTTTGACACAAAATTATCATCTTTTACTACTGAATCAAAAAATACAAAAAAAATTTCTTGAGAAGAATAGTAGATAATTTTAATCTGACAAACAGTTTCAGTAGTAGGAATTAATTTTAATGAAACGAAGCAGATTTAGAACCAAAATTCAATAAAATTTTGGTTTAAATTAAATTTGTGATGTTAGTAGAAAAAGTATAAACTCTGACGAAATTTAACTCTATACTATTTTAGTTCAAGTAGTAGTAGTAGATAATTTAAGTCAGACAAACATTTTTAGTAGTGGAGAGCAATTTTTAGTTAGACAAAATGTTTAAATTTACTATGTAAATTTTGGTTTAATGTAAATTTTTGATTTAATGGAAAAACTAAAACCTCAGTTAGAGGAAATTTAACTTTGTATTTTTTTAATGCCAGTAGTAATAGATAATTTTAGTCGGACAAACAGTTTCAGTAGTAGAGAGCAATTTTAGTCAGACGAAACGTTTAAATTTACTGAAAATATTGATTTAATTAAAATTATTAAAATTATTTTTGCGTTAGTAAAAGGTTTTAAAAATTTTGATTTAATGTAATTTTTACGTTAATAAAAGAACAATAACTTCAGACAGACGAAATTTATCTTGGAATT